CCAGGTCAGTTGTTTTTGCTACCTTATATTTTCTTTCTTTTTCTTTTTTTTTTTAGCCTTTTGGCTTTGTTTTAGTTGGTTTTTATTTTATTGTTTCAAGGACTCATTGGGCTTCATTTCAGTCCATTCTAATTTTCAAGTAGTTTGTTGCTTGGGCTTCCTTTTGTAACTGTTAATTCACTTTCCAGTTCTTTTCCCCATAACTTCATTTCCTTTCCAATTTTTCCCTCTAGACCTCTCATTTCATTGATAAAAGCATTTTAAACTCTAAAAAAACCCCTCTTGTTTCATGGCTTCTGGTCTCTGCCAAAGCTGTGTTTTTCTTTGAAGCTTTGTTAGTAAATGTTTTGGAGTCACTCTCTTTTGTGTTTGTATCTTGAGCACCCCTATCACCTCGAGGGATTCTTTTTTTGCTTTCTTATTCTTCCAGCCGACTTTCTGACTTTGGACTTCATGTCAGGACTAGGTTCTACGGACTTCTGGAGGGAAAATCTGGGCTGGTCTTTTTGCTGTTTGCTTGGGGTATTGAGTATCGTGTTATTTCAGGTTCTAAGGGACAACTCAGGCTTGGGACTTGCAGGCCTTCAATGTTGCCAAAGTGATCTGATTCATAGCAAAGTCTGATGACTACCTCTCTGGTATGAACTGCAAGCTCCTGACCTGGGTTTGTGTCTAAGCAGAAGTAGACTACTTTTGGATTTAGCCGCTGTCGGTCACTAGAGGTTCTGCTGGCTCATAGTAATAGAACTGCAGTCTCTTCTTTGGATTGGGATTCCTGCCCTGATTGTTTCTCTGCAAATTTCAGACTGGGTTAGAAGCTAGAACTGAGACTTTAGTCTGCTCCTGGGATGAAAGCCACATAGCTGCTGCTTTCTTCTAAAGTTGTTCATCCTAGGGCCTGGGGTCACGCCTTACCCAGGAACTGATACCTGCCACTGCTGGACATACGGCCCCTCCCCAGTCTGATCTAGATCTGTGACTCAGAACTGGGGAGTGGGCAGCAATGTTGCCAGTCGTCCCTCGTTGTCGTGGTGCCGTGGTATGGGTCTGGGACCTTCTCTCGGCCTGGTGCCTCTCTCTACTTTGGGGTGCTCTGTACCATCTCTCCTAGCCAGACCTAGCCTTAGTGAATACAGACTTCATTCTCTGTTTCCCTATACTATGACTCAGTGTGACTTTTTCTTGGATTTCCCCATGAGAATTTGGTCTGATGCATTTTCTAGATCTATCTAGAGGAGCTTTTTTAGGAGGGGGAAGGTCAAGGGGAAGGAGATCACTGTACTGATTCCTGTTACTCCGTGATCTTGGCTCTGCCTCCAGAGCTTACGTTCTAATGCGGAAAGACAACAAATAAAAAGAGGAAGTCTGGAGTGAAACCTAGAAAAGACTAAGACTTGGCTGGCCTGGGCTCTTTAAATGAAGATTCTGGGAGAAGCCATCCCATCAGAGGGAGAGGCAGGGGTGGAGGGTACCTCCAGTATGTGGATTCCAGAGCTGGAGTGAGGAATAGGTCATAGCTTTTTAGAACTTTCCTCTACTGTTTGATGTCTCCTGTCTCATAGAGCTCTCACATAGCTGGAAATGAGGATTGGAGTCACAGAATCACAGAATTTTAGAGTTGGAAAGGACCTTAGCTGAAATCTAGTCCAATTCATGACTGAAAAACAACACCTAACATAAGACAACTAAGAGGGATCATCTGGTTTCTCCTTGACGACTTCCAGTAAGGGGGAACCTGCTATTTCCTGATATAGACCATTTCACTTACAGATAGCTCTAATTGATAGGAAGTTTTTTCCTGAAACCGAGACTAAATTTGCTTCTTTGCAACCATCGCTCCTGGTTCTAGGGCCAAGCAGAGCAAATATAGTCCTTCTTCCATGTAATAGCTCTTCAAATACTTGAATTCACTTATCATGTCCTCTCTGAATCTCCTCTTCTCCAACAGGGAGGGAGTGGAGTTCGCTTTGTTCTATTTCTATAGCACCAAACCCCCGTGATCTGACATATGCCTCAGGGAGATGGAGGGAGAGGAGTGGACCAGAACTTCAGACACAGAATAGTCAAAAAGATTTGAGTTTGAATACTGCCTTAGATGCTTCACTAATTCTATGACCCTGGAAACTTCTGAGCCTCAAAATGCCTCATTTGTAAAACAACAGTAATGCTAGTACCTTCTGTCCAGGATTATGTTGAAGATCAAATGCTATAATATGAATATAAAGTGCTTTGCAAACCTTTAAGCACTTTTCCTGTAGTGGTTTCTTCCACATAATTCTTTTCTTCTTTAATCCAACTCTTAGTTTCTTGAGGATAGGAATCTAATCTTTTCCTTCTCTTGTCTCCACAAATGACTGCTTACAAGGCAGATGTTAAATACCTACTGGTAGAATTAAATTGATTCCAACAAAAATATTCCACTATGTTCACACTACCCAAGGCCTTATTAGAGAGCCAGCCTAGTCTAGGTATGACAGTAAGGAGGCCAAGAATTTGGGAAGAAGGTGGGGGAAAACCCAGCCAGAACATGTCTTCTTCATTCCCTGAAGCACCCTGAGGATGAGCTAAGTTGGAGGTGAAAGTAACTTCTTGTCTAGACATTAGAATCAAGAAGGCAATTTTCAATAGTAGGAGAGTCCTTAGACTAGGGAAGGGATAATATAAACAAAACCTCAGGGAGTAGTTGTTTCTGGATTGTGTTTTAGATTTATGTCTCCATGGCACTAAAGATGCACCACATAATATACAATTCCCTTGAGTTTGGTTAAAAAAAAGCCTTTTCAATTTTATTAAATCAAAATGATGTGTTTTATCTTTTGTGATCTCCTTTATCTCTCATTTGGTTAAAAATTTTCCCCCTAGCCATAGTAATGAAAAGTATCTAAAGTGGTTCTTCTCTGATTATTTTATGGTATAACCTTTTACATTCAAGTCTCATGTCCATTTTGAGCTTATTGTTGCATATGGTGTAGGATGTGGGTCTAAACCTAATTTCTGCCAAACTGCTTCCCAATTTTTCAGCACTTTAGACACAGAATAGTCAAAAAGCAGTGCTTGTCACATATGGAGTTCTTCCCAAGTAGTTTATATTGGTGAATGTTGAACACTGGGTTATGGAGTTAGATTGTTTCAAATGCTTGTTTATGTAGTCTATTTCACTTATCTACTTTCCTATTTTTTTAACCAGTATCAAATAATTTTAACAATTACTGCTTTAAAATATAATTGATTCTAGAAGCAGTATTCAGTTTTTTTTTTTCCCCGTTATTCCTCAGAGATTGGTTTTCAAGATATCCCAAAGAGGGAAAAATAGCAAAAGAAGGGAATTTTAAAAAATCATGGATAGTATTACTCCCCCCTGAAAAAAAAAATGGTGACCTAGAAGATTTCAACAGACCTTTTAATCTATTTTTTCACCGCTATAAAATCTTTATAGGGATAGTCTATGAACATATTGAAGACATCCTTGATTAAAATATGAGAAGGGAACTGTATCATTTTGCAAATGATTCCCTATAACAGATAACAACAACTTCCACACAATTACTGAAAGGTGTAAAGCCTGAAAAATACTGCTTAGTGGTTGCAGAATAAAAGCACTTGACATGATAGGGCAAAGTACAGCTTTGAGGCTCTCTAGGAAAGCACCTCCTATGCACGGGTTGAGATTATTCAAGATTCCATAATAGATGTAACAACAAAGATAACTTTGTTCCATAATCCTCTGTCAGTATCAAGAGAGTCATAAAACAGGGAGATGTATGCTCACCAAAGGTGTTTATCTATGTAATGGTCTCCTACACAGAGTCCATACGGAAATGGGTCAATCATGTAGGGAGTACTATGGATAACAGATGGACAGTTTTGAGCACTGCTCTGATATATGTGAAGTGTTAAAAGATCTAGAAAGGTTTCAGTGTGTTTAGGAGGTCCTTTTTAGAATGTTTTTGGGAATATAAAAAGGGCTGCCATTGCAAGACTTGGGTTGCAGATCCGTTGAAGTATCAACCTAAGTGTGTCTGTGGTGTTTTATTTGTCTCTGTGGGTCTTTGAGATGTCCCATGATGCAGTTGCTGTTATAAACCCTGTTACATGGGATGGAAAAACCAAGTCCAACCTTCAAGTGGTATATTCTTCTGAACATAGATGGCACCAGTAGCATTACCCACATATGGGTGGTCTGCAGGAGCTCTCCGGGGGCCTCGGGCCTGCACTAGAAGTAATGGCCACCAGATGGCAATAATGCTCTGTTATGAAGTACAGTCCAAATGGTGTGGTCCATGTGGATTTTAGAGCTGGAAAGGATAATCTTGTAGATTTAGAATCATTGCTATAGAGCTCGAAGGTACTTCAGAAGACTTTTAGTTCAACCCCTTCATTGTATAGAAGAGAAAACCGGGCACAGGGAGGTTCAGTCACTTGCTTAAGCTACAGACCCAGGTCTTCTGAAGGCCAGTCCAGTGCTCCATTCACTTTTGTGGTGGGACCCTATCAAGCCTCAGGCTCCCTGATTATGCTACACATGACTCACCTCTTCTAGACTCTTCTTTGCTGAATTTAAGCTTCTCTTCTAGTTTGAAAAAAAGAAATGGATCCTTTCATTCTGGAGTTCTGCTTAAAAAACAACAACAACAACAACAACAAAAAAAAAAACCAAAACTCAAACCAACCAACCAACCAACCCAAACCCCAAAGCTAAGCTTTCTTGGGCAGCAGGGTAGCACATATAATGCTCTGGCCCTATCATGAAGGACCTAGGTTGGACCTGCTTTGCGTCTGCTTCCTATCAGGTTTGTGGGGACTCTCAGACATGAGTCCCCTCTCCTGCATGGTTTCCTCCCCTGATGCTAGGGAGATTTCCTCCCAGTCCTCATTTTTCCTTTTCTTCCTTTAGAGAGTTTACTTCAAGGGACCACACTTTTCATTTTTTGCTCACTTTATGACCATTTAAACTTTAACTTAAACAACAGAACACAATAGCAAGCTTTTAAGATACAGAGACCAGCTTCCCCAAAGAGACTATTGAAAATGCTTGATTAACTCCACAAACTCAGAGTGTCCATGGAAAACACTCTCCATTCCCATGGCCTTGAGTTTCAGTTGCTCTTTGCTGAGAGGTTCAGGATGTGTTTGGGACTGGATCCAACATCCTTCTGATGTCCTCCACACTAATGCCATTGGCACAGCCAGGCTAGGCCAGCATATGTCCTGTGCTCTGGAAACTTTGAGAGGAATTAAAGAGTGCTGGTATAGAGGGGAAAGGGAATTGTTGCCCCTTCTGCCCTCTCCCTCAAACCCAGATATATACATGAAATCCCAGACATGCCCAGCTATAACACATATTCAGCACAGAGACATACATGGACAAGCATGAATACTTACACATAGACAGTTATATTCAGATGTCCCTAATGAAACTTTGGCTCTCTGGCTCGGTTTCACTCCATTTTGTTTCTTTCTTTGTCTGGCTGGAAAAACGTGTGCTCCCATGGGGTAGTGGGGGTGGGGAAGGAGGAAGGGACGGAGTTCCATGCTCCTAAGATGTTTTGTGGTTAGAAGATTCAAACCAACTTCAGGAAACTTGCTTAGCATGCATTGTTGAGTACCTAGGAGAAAGTAAGAATTGTACTCATAGGATATCGCATCCAGTTCTCAGGGAGGAGAGACAGTGGATTCACCTTTGGTATCTCCAAATAAAGTCACAGTTTCTAGGAGGAGCTGTGAAAATCTTGTTTTCTTGCACATGAAAAATCGTTCAGTTGAATATCCATGTATAAAAAGAAATGTGGAAGCATATGTGAGGGTGGGGTTTATTTCCACCACAATTAATCGCAGAAGGCTCAGACATCTCAAATCAATCAAAAGTAAATTAGATACGAATAAACTGACAGTCAATTTGAAAGAGTCATAAGGGTTTTGAGTCAATGTAAAAGACAGATAATGCTGTACGGAAAATATCTTGGGATTGGTTGAAGATTGTCACACCTGTTGGGCTACATGTTAAACAGAAAGCTAGTTCAGGGCTAGGTAGTGGGGTGAGAAAGGATTCCAAATTTAGGAGGGTTTCCAGGACCCTGATAGGGAATAGCTCATGAAAACAGAAGATGGTGCTTCCCCGTTCATGTCTCATTTTCCATCGAGCATATTATCAGAGAGATCAGAGTAGTAGTGGATTACTCATCCAACCGAGAGTAGAGACAGACAAACAAAAAGTCTCCTGAAAAAAGGTAATCCAGTATCCAGAGACAAATTTGATCAGGTTACAACATTAGGAACGTTGAAAGGTTGGAAGACTTGTGCACTGGAGCCAGTGACAGTATCTCCAAGGAAGCGGGGGATGATTGCAGTGTCTGCATTGGAAGCTGTCAGACATATTGAGAATAAATTAGGCACACTGAGGAAAAGAAGCTCTCCAAGGGCACGGCCCATCAGAGAACTGCACCTTTGGGGAATTTCGTGAGGACTCCACAAAGAGACGAAAGGACTTTAAGTAACCAGGAGCTACAGTTCAGCCCACTCTCCCCCAAAACCTTGTGTGTACAAGGGACAAATGTGCCTCATACACCTGGGGGAATAATTATCAAACAACTATCTTTGCTATGTCTGTTTAGTAAATCCCTTTCTAAAAGCTAATTAAGTCTGACTGATAATTGATAAGATATATACTGGTGGGGGCTCGTGAGAAGTAGTCAATCACCCTCTGGGGACATATGCTACCAATGTAAGTAGGAGTTGGAGAAGTAGTACAAGAAGGGATGTGATGTATGTGTGTACATATAAATATATATATATACACATATACACACATATATATGTATATACACATATGTGTTTTTATGTATATGTATACACACTTTTTTTTTTACATGAGCACACATACTACCACTTGTGAGCTCACTTCTGGGTGTGTTCTTCATGGCTGAACAGAATTGTATTAGCTAGAAAAGTCATGGCCCTGGAGAAGAGATGAGGGAGTGCATCTCCTTTTCATTAGAGAAGTTGGTTCCTATGAATGAGGAGTGCTGTGCATATTGTCAGACACGGTTGATGTCAGGTGTTTTCTTTCCAGTTTGTTTTTGGCTAATGGTTTTTGTTATTGTTAGAAGAGAAGCCTCATCAGGGAGGGAAGAGGAGTGTATTGAGAAATTTCTGTGATAGAAAAATGGAAGACATCAACATGTCTGGGGCACCCCCCCATACAGAGGCCCCTCAGAAAATCTCCCTCAAATTTGTGACACTTAGTACCACAGTATCCTCTCAAAGCTGTAGCTCATGAGCTATGTTGGCTTTTATGAGCCAGCTAGAGGACCCATTAGTCTGAAATAAAAGACATTTAATCAAACAGCATAGCAAATAAAATAACAAGAAAAGATCCTTGCCACACAAACACACATGAAGCACTATCTCCCATGGTTTACCGTACTTCCAGAGGGGAAGAGTCACATACATAGGGAACAACATGTGTGTATCCAGGGAACATAAGTGAAGGGGCACTTGCATCCAGGGAGCCAGGGCCCAAATGTGGAAAGCAAATACAACTTAGGCAACTAACACTTTTGGTGCCGCAGAGCTGCTGAAGGCCCCTGGCGATGTCAACCTGCTGCTGTTTGCTGGGTGTTCTGTCTCAGCTTCTCCTGGGTACCGCATCATGGCTTTCACTGGCCTAGCATGATAGCAGAGATGGATTTGCCAAGCCTTAGATCTTCAGGGCCTTCTACTTAAAAGTAATGGCTGGAATAGCCTGTACCCGATGAAGGTCAGTGTTTTTTTTGTTGTTGTTCGTCATTTCAGTTTTGTCTGACTCTTTGTGACCCCATTTGGGGTTTTCTTGGCAAAGATACTGAAGTGGTTTGCCCTTTACTTCTCCAGCTCATTTTACAGATGAATAAGCTGAGACAAACAGGAGATAAGTGACTTGCCCAGGGTCACACAGCTAGTAAGTGTCTGAAGCCACATTTGAACTCAGGCCTTCCTGATTCCAGGTCATGTGCTCTATTCATTGCACCAAACACCTGTCCAGAGTTTAGGAAGGGGTATAAGCAATTATACCCAACCAGAGTAACCCAGAAAAACCAGTAGAATAGCCCCAGGCTATGATTAAGTCAGTTCTTTTACTGCCTTTGTCTGGTCTCAAACAACTTAGAGTTGAGAAATTCCTTGTAACTCCTATTTCAACCAATTATGAGTCTGTAGTCTCAAACTCTATTTCTACAACATTGCCAAAAAAACCAAAACTCAAAACAAATCAACTAAACAAATGAATAGAAGACCCTCTGGAGCTTGGGGGGTGGGGTAGCAAAGGGGCTAAGCTCCTTTCACACTCTTTTTAACTGGCATGCAAATGAAGTTAGGGCAAAACAAAAGCCCAAGTAAAATACCTGAGCTGAGTTCCTTCCTTTAGGCTGCAGATCTGCCAGCAAAAAAACAGGGACCTTCTTTTGTATCCACAAAAGTGAGATTGGAAGAAAATCACCTAGTCCAATGCTTAATTTCTTAACTGTTTTAGGAGCTACTGTTTCCTAGCCTAGATTAGTCATGATTCTTCTGAGGCTGGGGATATCTAGCTCCTTTATGGGCCCCAGAAGAGAAAGGTGTCTTCTGTCCTAGAAGAAGCTCAGGCTGATTTTGGAGTCTAAGATTGCTGAACTATGTTGAGCTCATTTCCCTGTTTAACAATTCCCTGTTTACTCTCATCCAATTAGGAAGCCTCCGATGGTATGATAGTTTGTGGGCACTCTGCCTACATTCCTTTATAAACACTTATCTAACCAGATGGTCCCCTTTCTTAGGCAATGGCTTGTATGTAGAAATACAATTGGCAGTGTTCCTACCACCTCAAAAAACCTCCATAATAATTCAGTTCCATCATAGATGACCCCCAGAGTTCAGTGAGTTTGCACAGTTTTTGATCACAAGGAATATATAGGCTCATGTTCCTTAAGCAGGCAGCTAGGGATATAATGAATAAAGCAATGTGCCTGGAGTCAGGAAGACCTCAGTTCAAATCCAGTCTTATACGCTTACTAGCTATGTGACTCTGAGCAAGTTACTTAATCTTTGCTTGCCTCAGTTTTCTCACCCGTAAAAAGGGGATTGTTGTTCAGTCATTTCCATCATGTCCAACTCTTTGGGACCCCATTTGTGGTTTTCGTGGCAAAGCTACTGGAGTGCTTTGCCATTTCCTTCTCCAGCTCATTTTACAGATGAGGAAACTGAGGCAAACAGGGCTAAATGACTTGCTCAGGGTCACACAGCTACTTGAGGTCAGATTTGAACTCAGGTCTTCCCGACTCCAGACTTAGTATTCTAATGAGGAATCCAGGATGATTCCTAGGTTGTGAACCTGAGAGACTGGGAGGATGGTGTTGCCATCTAAGGTAATAAAGAAGGTAGGAAGCGAGAGGAGTTAGTGGGAAAGATGAGTTCTATTTTGTTTATATTGGGTTTAAGATGTCTCCTGGACATCCAGTTCAAGATGTCTGAAAGGCCATTGGAGATGGGAGTTTGCAAATCAGCAGAAAGATTGGGGCAGGAGAGGTAGATTTAAAGATAGTCAGCAGAGAGATGGTAATTAAATCCATGGGAGCTAATGAGACCTCCAAGTGAAGTAGTGTAGAGGGAGAAGAGAGGAGGGCCCAGGATAGAACCTTGAGGGACACCTATGGTTGGAGGGTGTGATCCAGAAGAGGATCCAGAAAAGGAGTGGTCAGGTGGATAGGAGAAAAACCTACAGGAGATAGTGGTGTCCCAAAAACCTAGAGAGAAGAGAGTATCAAGGAAGAGAGAATGGTCAACAGTGGCAAAGAGAGAGGTTGAGGAGAATGAAAGAACACATAAATAATGAAACCCTTGGCCTTAGATAACTATAATGCAATTGCACAAAGTATGGGTAACAAATAAAGTAAATAGAGATCCTAACCTAAGAAGGCCAACTTGACTTCAAGAGTATCCCTGAAGCTTGGTAGAATGGGACTCATGACTGGTATGATATATAACTGTGGGAAGATATACTTTATCCAGATGGAACAGAAAAAGGAAAAGGAACAGTAGAGTATCATTTTATGCTGATGATATACTTACGTGAAGAAGTCTAGGAGTCAGAACATGGGCAGTGGTAGTGGGGAGCATGGAGAAGAGTATTTAGATGAGGATCAATACCGAGATTGTCAAGACAGTTTTTACCATATACCACTTGGTCAGAAGGAAGAAATGGAGGAGGAATTTGGGAAATGTCACAAACCTGGCTTTGAGGTATGATATAGAAGTGGTGGGGAACATCAATCATAAGCATCTAATAGAGTATCCTTCTCTTTCCTTTTCCCTTTTCCTTTCCCTTTCCCTTCCCTTCCTTTCCCTTTCTTATCTCTCTCTATCTGTCTCTGTGTCTCTTTGTCTCTGTTTCTGTCTCTCTGTGTCTCTTGGCTGTCTCTATCTGTCTCCCTCCCTCTCCTTCCAGCCTATGAGACAATCTTCTTCAGAAAGTGACAAAGAGGAACTTTTATTTTCAATCTAATTCTAACCAACAAGAAGAAACCAGTGGCTGCAGCAGAAAACAATTTTCTTCCTTGGGGAAAAACAACTATTCCATTTCAGAATTTGTGATAGAGAAGGTGGGGGAAGCCTGGCAGAGTTGTACTCGATATGAGGAAGGAATTCCTAAAAATTAAAGCTCTACAAAAACAGAATGGGTTGCCTCTGGAAGGTGTGGGCTCCTCAAAAAAGGTTGTCAGGCAGAGGCTGGGGCAGGAGCATCAGGATGCTGCTTGAGGACATTCTTGTTCAGCTCTAGGCTGGGTTAAATGGCTTTGGAGGTCCTTTCAACTCTTAGATTCTATGATTCTGTGATCCTCAGAGAGATTGCAGTCCATCCTCTTCACTTTACAGATGAGGAAACTGAGGCCTGGGGAAGTGAAGTCACTTGCCTCAGGTTACCCACAATTATTCATCATGGGTGAGAGAGATCAATGACTGGAAGATTTTCTGGACTTTCTGGGAAACTAACTTAGATTAAATACACCAGAAAAATTGCAAGGATCTTTGAGTTTATTGGAGTTGATTCCATAGGATACTGTCTAGGCTATGTGTGGTCTGTCTCCCATTGGTGGTGGAAGGAGTATGTTCATCTTGGTGATATTTTCCTTATTATTTAATTTGCCATATATAGATTTTTGTAGGTAACTAGAAGAGCTAGATTTCAATCCTAGGTCCTCTCACTCCAAATCTAACACTCTTTCCAGTGACTCATCTTTCAGCAGCTAAGTGTGGCTGGACACTAAGGTGGAAATGACAGCTTTCCAGGCTCCCTTCACCTTCCAAATCACCACTGTAGCAGCTTGGATGCAGTTGTAGGAATGTAGGACAAGAAGGATCAGTTAACACCGCTGCCCTCCAAACTGGCTAAGTGAAACTTCTGGGTAATCTGTATGTATTTTGGCTTACTGAAAGGGGCATTATGGGAGCTGGAAAAAATTGACTTCTTCCAACCCAAACATCAGGCTAGCCTAAGGGAGTTGCTGCTAGGTACAACCAAAGAGGGTAAAAAACAGAGATCTGACCAGAAACAATCCCTGTTACTGGTTGTAGATTCAATTAAAAAAAAAAATGAAATAGCCTGGGGCTATGGGCCACCTTCCAAAAGAGCTTTCACCTGTCCTTTCCGGAAGAGGACGTACAGCAATTGTAATTCAGGATAGAAACTAGCAGATAAATGCCAGATGACAATGCAGGTGACAGGTAGCTAGCATATGGCAATGCAGAACAGGACTCAGCAGATGACAGCAACAGTCCCATAGAGAACTAACCAGTGGTAGGTCTGGAAACATGTTCTAGCTGGAACGTAGCCCTAATGCATGAATAGCCCTAGGCTATGTCTGGTCCCCCTCCCATGGATGGTGGAGGGCAGTATGTCCTTCTTGGTAATATTTTCCGTATTTACCTTGCCATTTTGTTGAATTAAACGTCTCTACTTTGAGTTCGTGTGTTCTCTGGTTTGTTCTGAAACATCAAATGGGGGGAGGCTCATGAACTGTGGTTTTGAATAAGTATTGACTAAAGGCATTCCTTGAACATAGCTGTAACTTTAGGGGCTCATGTTTGAAGGATGCTGGGAAAATACCGCCATTTTGGGGGGGCAGGCTAGGCAAAGGGGTTAAGTGACTTGCCCAGGGTCACATAGCTAGTAAGTGTCAAGTGTGTGAGGCCAGATTTGAACTCAGGTCCTCCTGACTCCAAGGCCAGTCCTCTATCCACTGCACCACCTCGCTGCCCCAACAACACCATTTATTAAGAGGAGAAGGCGCCACACCCAGGAAATCTGGTCCTTTTACTGTCCTCTTCCGTGACATTTTTTGAATGAAGCAAATCATTAGTAAAAAGGGCACCCTCCCTGACTGATGACATTCTCCTGATCCTGGTCTTTTCAAACTCTCCCTTCATTTTGACCCCTTTGCTCCCAAACTCAGAAATTTCCCCGCCTGACTTCCTTGATCTGATGCATTGAGGATTTCTGGTTTTGAGCTTCAAACTGGTTGCCCCAATTTTCTTTGATCCCTGGAATAGGGAGGGGACTTGTATTTATACTTACATTCTTTTCTTAACTCTTTTTCACTTGGTGATTGCTGCCTAACACCCTCAGCCCAAGTTGAAGACCTGCTCCCTGCCCCACTCAAGGTTTGGAAGTGATAATAATGATTTGAGCTGGGCTTTGAAGGTTAGGTAAAATCTGAGTAAGGAAGAGTGGGGAGGTATCTTTGGCAGGGGGAAACGGAGTGAATGAAAACATGAAGGTGGGACTGAGCACGATTTGCAGAGGCCACTGACTCCACCAGCCTTATTTAGGCCAGAGGGTTGGCAGTGCAGAGTCACGGGAGAAGAGATAGCGTAGATAGATTATTTGAGAAACTTGCTAATATATATGTCTTTGGTCAATGGGCTGTGGGTACTCCTGTGATGTTAGCATTGGAGTCAAAGATTTCCCTGACCACTGGGGAATTTCTGGTTACAAAAGCTCAGACCACATAACATCAGGGGGCCTTACACAACTCTTCCCAACACTTACAACAGACTTTTATTGGTTCAAAGTTTTACAGACTAGGGCAGAACAACAAATTGAAAGGGGTGGAGGACAATTTGGAAAGAGACCCAGACTATAATTTCATTGCTGTAAAGTCACCAGTGACCACATCTCTCTGCTTCCTACATTCTCAGCCCTCATAGTTCTAGGGCAAACCCCTAGAAGGGCATGAGGAGGGATAGTTGAGGTGTGGGGGCACAAGGCTTTCAAGGAGAGAAGGGCAACTTCTCATTTCAGGTTCCCCAGAGCTATTGAGAATGGAATCTCTTGTCATACCTTTATGGTGGTGGCTGGTGACTTTGCACAGCCCTGCCTCACTTAACTTCAATTCACTTGCAAGTCAAGGCATCACTTTCCTGATGTTATTGGTCTTCTTTCAGAACGAAGGACAAACGATAATGAGGAGAAGGGAGCAGACTGGAGAATTTATTACTTTTCCTTGCGCACTGAAAGCCAATGGTACCCTTGGCACACATTTTCTTCCTTCTTTCCCCAGAGCGCTTCAAAACTCTCAAGGTGGTGGGTG